GTTCTGTTTTCTTCATTCCAAAAAACCAAATTAAACCAGAAAAAACCCGCAAGAAGACCTCGAAAGAACAAAACTCGACTCATGGGGAAAACCTTTATTGGGTAAATTGCTTGCAAAATGACCTCCAAAGAACAAAACTACTTGATTATTGGGGTAAATCCAACATCGGCAACAAATCTATAAGTTGTATACCCAAACAATTAACAGAGTCTGCCACCAGCAATTAACAATTGATCAATCACATGCCCCCACAATGTATGTGTCCATGATATACCAATCAATTAATTGTTGAATGAAACCAATAGTTAACTACAAATAGACATAGTGAATGCATCTTCACTTTTTGACGATTGATATACATACACCAACCGTCAAATTATGTCTAGTATGATGAGCTTTATATTCTCTCTTCTTTTCTATTTCTCACTCCGGCATTAGAAACATATCACGACAAAGTTGAAGCACAATCCACACAATAGTTTCCAACATAATCCTTAGCTCTAACAACTACCTTGTAAATCTTTCATATACATTGCATTAGCATGAAAGGCAATCAAAATTGAGAAAACCCAAAGTAAAATGGTCATTTTGTCGCCAAAAGAGAGGAGAGGTATATAGAGGCATGGAAGGCAACAAATTTCTTCGAAAAAAAGGGGGGAAAATAAAGAAGAAAAAGAAAGCAAACAACTAAAGAGGTCAATGTAGGCAAGGATAGGAAATTGCCTATTTCATGTGAAGCCCACTTCACCTAACTACTTACAGCCATACATCAACTAAAAATACTATTTATGTAAAAGTAACTTATTTCATTCCCTGATCAGTAAAAATTTTTGTCTCAAAACAAAAGAACTTGTAATTCAATCTCTCCTTTGACTAAAATAACATAAAATAAAAGAGTTATTACCTCCCTTTAAGAAAATAAATAAATAAATAAAATGAAAGGGAAAAAAGTCACGAAGAAACATATAAATAAATAAATAAAACGAAAGGGAAAAAAGTCAGGAAGAAACATTCTTATGTTTATTTAGCTTATATAACAATATGTACATAACTTGGTCAAAATCAGTTGTTTTTCATACGATAAAGAAGAGTGAATAAAAATAATAACTCATATATATCAAAATAGAAAGCGGCGGTCTACATGCTGATGGACCATTTCACAGCTCTTAATTGTGATTGAGAGCACAAGATACGAAAACATTTGTACACACTAGCCTCCACTCCATGTAGAACATTTGATTTCTCCTCTCATAGGAGCAGTGATGAATGTACCAACTAGCAACAACCATAGAAACAAAAAAGATAGCCTTAGCTACATCTCCAACAAGTGTGATATCTCAAGTTGAACTTGGAAAAAGTAGCAACAGTATAAAATCTCACATTTCTTGTCTTTGCAGTATTGATATCGACAGTTTTCTTTGTTTTTGAGGAATCTTCAACACCTCCCTGATCCAACCTGGCTTTTTTTGCTTGTGGCTTGACTTTTATGATCATACCTATGGGACGAGCAGGAGGATTCTTCTTCCCAGCTGCCTTCTGTTCCTGCAGGCAGAAACAGATTGCATTTAGCTGCCACCACCTACAAATGACGAATACCAGAAACAAGACGAGAACAGAACTCTCCCTCTTTCTCCCTCACGCACAGGTTGCATTTAAAGACCAAAGCTCCCACCTATCACAAAGAGCCTAACAAGAAGAGACTGGCTTTCTTTTCACACATTCCATTAGGAAAGACTACCTGAATAGGCGTTAAGGTCACTACAACTATAAATCCCTCAACTAAAAGCCTGTTTCATTCATGAACTATTACCAACCTTTGATGTTTCTGCAGGTTTGTAAATGCAAAATCACCTAGAGAAAATTCAAACGGAACATGAACAAAACAAATAAGAAACCAACCTGGACTACGGGAACAGGAGGCGTTTCCTTAAGCTCGTGTACAATCATAGACTGTACTGCTACTGCTGCCGGAATCGGAAAGAAAAACATTAATGACTTGACATGATATAAGGTGAAATGATTCACAAGCACCACATTGGTTCCTTTAAGGGGGGAAAAAAAATGAAACCGTGTGAAAGTATTTGTGACTGCCAAAGGAAACTATGTTTGGAAGATAAGATGCTTGGCAATAACTATGCAAAAAAAAAGGGCAACATAATGATCACCACATTTAGGCTGCACTCCGCAGAAGTTTATTACATCCCTAAAGCATACATAAAAAGCATAAACATGGATGCAAACATACATTTACATGGATGCATAGCAGAAGTAAGAACGAAATCAAACAAAAGAATCAGTAATGCATATTAGAAGGAGAATGTAAAGTGTCATACAGTTACAATCACCTCAACCTTTCTCACGTTGTATGCATTGCATATCAAAAACCACCTTAGTGATTACTGTACCTATATAGGTTCTTTCTGTGGAAGATTGACATTTTTACCGATGTAACTTTCATCGGTTTTAGATTTTACAGACAACGAGGGCAGGGCATTATCTAAACAACATTTCCATAAACACAGAGATACTCATTGTTGCCGAGTAATAGCAGAAATTTGGGCTAATAATCTATCATACCAACTCTAATTGATTCTACTTAGTAATATTAATAACAATCTGAAAATACAATAATCTTAGTTGTTCTCTTACAAGTTCTAATTTTTCAAGAAACTCAGTCTCGTCGTCATCCAAAGCTTTAGCAGGCCCTGCGGAAAAAAAAACAAAAAACAAAAAGAGTGATGAATATTTTACCGAAACTGACATTCTTATGCTACTTTCCATCAAAAGTCTGAAACTTGATTATCCTAAATCACCAGAAAAAAAAAAAAAAAAGGGGGGAGGGGGAAGGAAAGCAAAAAAAAAAAAAAGGAAGAACTGACTGTGCTTGAAGCGTTCGTTGAATTTAGCGTCCTTCTTGTCTTTATTTTCCGTTAAAATCTGCAGTATTTATTTACATTAAATTTTTATGAGATTAAGAAGATAGGAATGGATAGTAATCATAGAGAGAATACAATAGAAGACCTCGTAAAGGGGTCTATCCCTTTGGGCAGTGCCATCTTTGACGCGTTCGCCTTTCCTTCTCTTTGCTTCATCCAACTGTTTCCAAACAAAAAAAAAAATGTAATTCTAGGGTTTTCATCTTCAAGAATAAGATAGAAAGAAAGAAACATACGAATGAATAATTGAATTAGAGAATTAAAGGACAAATTAAAGATGAGATTCACCTGCTCCTCCGACACGAAATTCATAAGCCTGACGGGGGACCGCATCGATTCTTCAGCCATCTTTCTTTCGATTTGGAAAATTGGAAATTAGAAATTAGAAATTCAAATTTCTTTCGTCCGAGAAGAGTCTGCCATTGGAACCGAGAAGGAGGTCTCGGAAAGCTTCGTTAGGGTTCGGGAATCGAGGAGAGAGAAGCCGGTGACGGGTGGTGGATGCGTAGAGAGCTCGGAGTTGGTTCGGGAGCTTCGAAGCCATGGCGTCGATGGTCAATGGCTGGAGTTCGGTGGTCGAGCAAAGAATGGCTTTTCCTTTTCATTCCCCCCAACCAAACACAGCCTGAAGAGATTCCAATTCCGTTTCACCCTACGAAAACAACATCAATACCCTAAAAACGACGTCAAAAAAAGTTTACTGCTGAGTTAAACGACTAAAACTTTTGAGTACAAATTTACATGTTCATCTCTTTCTAATAATTCCTCAATTTTGTCAGCCTTTCATATACCTTTTTTTGGTGCAGAACCTGACAAAATTAAGGAATTATTGGAAGGGGAACATGTGGATGGAAGAATTCATGAGAGTTGAATAAAAGACTGAATACAACTATGAATGACAAAGGAAATCGTAATTTATAATATTTTTTTCTTTGAATCCTAATAGAACTACAATTAATAATCATAACATAACTCGAATTAGTTTAATGATAAATATAATGATAACACAAAAAAAAATTAAAATAATAAGTCTAAATTAAAAGATAAATCCAAATAAATCCCAATAATAATTGACAAAATGCACCAAATAACAATTTTTCATATATGGCAAGGAAAGATATCGCATATTTTTTAAAACATAGTAGTAAATTGTAATTCATCTTTTTCTCTTTAAAATAAAATATTTTATTCCATTTTTACCCTATTTTTTCTAATAAATTTGTAACTTATGCGTATGGAAATAAATAGTAGAGATGATTCTTTGAACAATTTAATAGAATACCTGATGGGTTCAAACTTTATCAGTTATTTGATTACTCAAACAAATTCAAAGGCACACTATGATTATTAGGCCCGTTAGGTAAAAAAAAAAACTTAAAATTGGTAGGGTGTTAGTAAATTAAAGCTTTCTTTTT